TGTCCATTTCCAGGTTCGACAACAGATGCTATAACTGTTTGCCACAGTTTGCCCACAGCTCCACCTGAACAATTATTCACACTCCTCTTGCCATGCTGGTGTGGTGGTCCCCAGGTTTCCGACCAAGATGATGGTTCTTCATCGAAATCAATTTCCGATTCACTTTCCTCAATGCCACTCTCAGAACTGTCGGTACAACAATCTGATTCGGAGTCGTTTATGAGTTGAAATATGTCAGCGTCTTCCAAACGAGACAGCGCAATGGTTGGTTCACGCTTTTGACACTGCTTGGCTGTGCTAACCATGAAAATACTTATAATCTACTTCCAGCAGAGTGAGGACAGAGAGCTTGTTGTGTTGCGACAAGCGATACTACACAATCGGGGTTCTTGTATACGAATAGATACTCACCCCACATCTCTGCATACCAAAAGAACTACGTGTATAATCTTTCGATACATGCAAGACTAAACATGGCGACATACACCATCCGCTGTGTTGCAACATTTACATACAGCATTCTTGCTTCCAAGAACTCTGAATTCATGTAGACAGACCGCAAAATTGGGAATTTTTTACTTGGAATCAGTCTAAAAATTTTTACACATTTTATAAGGTCTGTAAATTACAATATCTGATTCTATATTCTTTCTAGAAAAAAAAAACAGCGTTTATTTGGTTCGTTTATCACAAAAATTGTAGAAATCACAGCAATTTTAGGAAATGATTACAGTTTTTATTGCTTTAAAATTGCGGGTATTTAAATCAAATCTGTCCCGCTGCCATTACCGGAATTTAAATGGCTGTCACTTAAAGGTTAAACACATATCAATCAGCCTAACTAGTTTCCTGGGTACCTCAAACTCTATGAGAATGTTGTACAATGCGTCACTCCTAACTGAATCATAGACTTTCTTGAAGTCTATTAATTGCCGATGGACTGTCTCACTGTGCTCCAATTTTTTCTCCAGTAACTCACAAAAGCAAAACATGTGATCAGTAGTTGATCTGATACATCAAAGCCTACAGTGATGATTCTTAATAACTTCATCTATATATGGACTTAACCTTGAGAAAAAGATATTGGACAAAATTTTGTACTACAGTCAGTTTTATCATCCTTGTAAATTGGTACATGCTGTCATAATAGACAACTAAAAGCAGGGAGAGCATTACAAGCAGTAAGTCATTCACAACATCCTCCGTCACCCAACCACATGAATCCCACTGCTCAACAATTCCAAATTAGAAACACATAGAAACATACAACGGTATTACACATACAAAACCTCGCATTGCCAGATTAAAGGGTTTCTAATGTGTTAATACTGAATTATACCATGTTTCTTGATGTGTAAAATTGATCCATTTTATAGGAACTCATTTTAATGTTAACTTGCAATTCAATTACTCTGTAATTTATTTGTTTTGAATCCACCATGATAATTATCTCTCAAGATTCAAACATACAGATGTATAATATAACCGCAATAAAATTAACACTGACACTCTTATCAATGCACGTTTGTACAATTTTATTTTTACTGTTAAAAACTGTTGGGTAGCCCACCACTATATACCGTGATTGTATAACAAAACAGGATGCAAAGAATAAAGGTGCATCACAGGCTCCAGTGCATGGCAAGATGCTACGCTGATCCTCAATAGCAATGAACTTGTAAGAGACATATAGAGGTTCTCTGATACAACATATCTTGTTAGAAATGACTGAAGACCCTCTGCAACTTTAACACACTGCGGACCGGAGGGGCCACATGGCCCTCTACGTTTCCAAGCGTTGCGGACCGTTCGGGCCATATGGCCCTCTACGGTCATGTTATGTTGCAAAACGCTATATATCTCTGTGTGGCTTCGTTGAATCGTAACTACTGCGTAGATGACCTCGGGAATGATTGCTGCCTTATCTAGTAACTCGACCAGAGTCATTTCCTGTCACAACCTAAACAAGCTTGCACGTATGAACCACGCAGCTACCAGTTCAACATGGCTCAGAGACGAAAGCAGTTGCGATCTCTCGGAGGACAGGAAATATTAGATATGTTCTCCGATGAGCTATCAGATTTGCCAACTGCTTCGTCTTCTGATAGCGAGGCCATTATCAGTGACAGCGACAGTGACGGGGGCCACAGGGCTGCCCAAAATGTGTCAAGTGAAAGTGAGAGCTCCGTTGAAAGTGTGAGTATCAGGACAGCTACATGGGATAAAGTGCACAAAACCCCCACTTTGGGAAAGTTTACTGGTGATCCGGGGGTAAAGCAGATGCCATCGGACCCAACGGACATGTCTGAAGTTGCGTCACTGTTTTTTGGAGATAGTTTCTTTGACCTGTTGTGTCAGGAAACTAACACACACTATCTCCAACACCGTGAGGCGTACGACAGAACCAATAAGGTTTTGAAGTGGGTGGATGTCACTTCAACAGAAATGAAAAATATTTTGGCTATAATCATTCTAATGGGGCTTACGAAGAGAGAAAGTCTGAAGGATTATTGGTCAAGTGACCCATTTTTAGAAATTGCAATTTTCGGCAAACTCATGAGTCGTAAGAGATTTGAACAGATATGGTGGTGTTTGCATTTCAACAATAATGAAGTGCAACCACAACCAACGGGCAGGCTTTTCAAAATTCAGCCCTTATTAGACATTTTGGTTGAAAAATTTCAGACAG